TGCTTATACAGACCAGAAACCCATTGTCAATACACACATACATATATCCGTACTTCCAGTCCCCGCGCCGTTATACAGACTTCTTATTAGTTTATTACAACGTACACAATGTAATCCTCCAACGATCACCATGGTTACCACGTACTTTGAATGTTCATAGCGACCCAGTAGGTCCCCGTAGGTCCCAATAGCTGTGAAAACCTAAAGAAAACCGATGAACCTACAAAAATAGCATAGAAGCCCGGTTCGAGAAAAATCGCAACGATATGGGGTGGTTCGAAGGTGTAGCACGGAAGCCAGAGTCTCGATGGTCGTCGGTAGGTTTGATTAGAAGCAGCCGGAAGTTTCCGTCTGTTTCCGCGAGGGCTGTTGCGCGCTGGGCGATGGCTGGTCGAAATCCATCAGGAGCAATCTCGTGCGGGTTTTCGATGCTCCCGAAAAGTGGGGTGAGGCGGCGAAGGGGTTTGGACGTTGGGGCTGGAGGGGCCCGGGTGGTGGTAGCCGTCGGGAACTTGGCCCGTCTTGTATAGCCGGGCGTCCTGATATTCAATCCCCGAGTACTAATTGCTGCGCCATCGTGAATTTCCATCAGCGGATGGCATACCATATCGGACGGCGTGGATTGCGTGGGTCCTTGAATGCGACCGGGAGGAGATCTGGAGCTAATCCAACTCCGGTAAATCCACGACTTCGCGAGCCCGATCGAATCGCTTTTCCGGGGAGGATGAAGGGGGAGGATCCGGCGTACAATGACGGGAACCGCAACTTTCTGTTCGTTAATCCTCCGGATTTATTGACTTATCGGTTCTCTGTTTCTCGTACCGGTGGTTTCCCGGCCCGGAGAAACCGTGAAAAATAACAGACGCGGCAGAGATCGAGAAAGAGACGGGGGGGAGGGAAGAGGGAGCGAGAGACAACGGCGCCGCAACGGATAGAGGGAAGCCCTTCGTCGAACGCGTGTGCCAGTGCTCGAAGGGTCGCCAGTCCACAAAGCGCTTTATGGTCCGTTATATGACCGCAAGCTCGCGATACCATGTTTAGCACGGGTGCGCGATCACGAACACGACTCGCCTGTTCCAGGTGCATTCAGCCCGACAGTGCTTCTCATCGCGGACGCGAGCTTTACGATCCGCCCGCACCCGCGTCCACTCCACGCGCCGCGCACCGATTCGACAAACCACGGCACTCAGTTTCTTTGAAGTGACCTGGCATGGCGGCGCGCGACGGATCGGCCGCACGCCATACCGCTGACATTGTTCGACCCGCTGCCGTGCCACCGGAAAACAAACATAAATCCCGCGGATTTATTCGAGACGATGCACCCGAAGAATCGAAACGGGACAGACAGACCACCCATCCCCACGATTCGCCACGATCACACTGCGATACGGAATCCGCATAACTGGTCGCGATAACCATTGGTACGCGGCTGATCCGCTATACAGGATCGCATGGCGCGGTATTCCTTCATTAACCTCTTATCTTGCTATTTAACTCCGAGTTCGATCGTATTAACGACCGAATTGAATCGCACTACTTTTCGATTAACTGAATTAGTCAAGCTGCCGTTGGATACGTTAGTTCATGGTGCAATGCCAAAACCATCCGTGTTCGAAACCTGCGACAGACGCAATTGTGGATCTTTGTACCTGCTGAAACAGGAAAAGATTGTTGCATTTAACACGAAGCAGTCGATGGTGAGATACATCTTTCATTTCCCAAAGCAGCTGTACCATTTTCAACAGATTCCATGTTTTATTGAAACCTTCAACTCTTTCGATCTCTTGGCAAATTTGCATCGGCGCCACCGTAAAGCGTCAAACCCAGCTGCTCAACATCAAACACCGAGCAGTGTCGTCGTCGCTCGTCGGCATTAATATGTCAACAGACATTTGGCTGTCAAAGGGCAACCGCAAAACATGCTGATTGTGAGGTAGACGTCACAACGGGGTCGATTGAGAACCGGCTCGCATCCGGTACGCCCGCGAATCCGAGCGAGCGAACGCCGTAGCGGCGTGTTGCAGCCCGAAGAGGGCTCACGAACCGTGCCCTCACGCGAAGAGCGCCGCTAAGTGTGGTCGCACCATGGCTGACAGTCGGCGGCATTAGGCAAATTGAAATCTTGCCGGTAGAAGAGGCGGTTGGCTAGTTTACGTTCGCTTCTCTGTCCAGGCCCGGTCCGACCCGGCCCGGCCCGGCGAGAATCCGCACCGCGCCGCGATGGTTCCGACCCTCGGACCGTGAAACCCTGGAACACGCCGAGCCATGAACAGCTAGCTTCGCGGGCATCGTCGGCAGGGGGGCACAGTCGGGATGCCGGCGAGTTCCCCGGAACACAGAGGTCGTACCCGGGTCCCTCGTTTAACCGCCTCTGCCTCCTGTTTTACGATGTAACTGGCTCTGTGCCCGCACTCGCCCGTAATCTTTTAGGACCCGGTCACCGCTCGAACTAATCTCGTTTCCCGGTATCTTCGCGTTTAATTATACTCGGCCCCGGAGTCCCGGTCGACGACGTGCGGCTTTGCTAGATTCTCTAGATCCGGAAAGAACCGGGCATCTTGGCCCTTGGTCGGCTTGACCCGACGATGCAGGCTTCACGGACGCTAGTTAGGCCGAGCAGAATTCAGCCGAGAAGTTAAGGTATTGAAATTAAGAGGACGCAGGCTAATGGAAAACCGGTTACCGTCGGGTGACCAATTGCCGTGCCTTTAGTTTGCTTTCCTTTTTTCGTTCTCTCGTTTTGCTTACTTTTTAAGAGGAAAAAAGTTTAATACGCTTCATTTGACGAATATAAAGTATATTTATCGATTATAAATGTATCAAATGATCAAATATAACCGTAGGCACAGCAATTGGCTACAGCCAGTTTAAAAATGTAGGCTTTGAACGGTTTTCGGAAAACCGTCCGTTGTCAAAAATTGTCGATTGAACGGCTCCTTTTCGAAAACGATCTAACAAAGGTCGTTGCTTCTGGCGGATTTCGCGGAACGCCGTACGGACGGCGAACTTCCGCAGTGAAAACAACGATCGCCTATTCGAGAGTAACCCGTTATTCCAGTTTCTCGCAAAGAGTTTCCTCCGGCGCGCGCGAAGAGATCACTGTTCCGGCAATTAGTTCGCCGGTTGTACATTCAGGCTCTCTCCCCCCGTTCTACCTGTGCAGCCGATATCGGGCCGCTTGTTCCCCTGAGCTATTCACCTCGACGACCTACTATTGGAAGTGCGCCGCAAGTTGTTAACCTTAGTTGGCGGTTTAATTACACAGGCAAATATTATCGAACTGACGGAGTTAATTAGATAATTAAAACTTGAAGGGTAAACTACTTTGCCCGCGCGATGGCGGCGGCAGCGGCGGCGGTGTACCGACGGAAACAGGTGAGGGCGGGGTTCTCTCGTCGGTGAGCGAAAGCACGATCTCTGTTCGCGTGTACCGGGTACACCTTGGGAAGATGGTAGAGGCGAGATTGACGGCGCGCCGCAAATCGTGGCTCTAGCCGCCGCCTGCCCTACCACCTTAGGGAACTTTCCGCAGGATGAAACCAGGATCTACCTGTTCCCATTGTAATAGCGGGGGTGTCCTTAACGAGAAATTCCTTCGCGTTGTCTTTTTACCGGCTCGGGAAATTTGTCCGTCTCTCCGCTGTCGAGCGCTTCCGGTGAATTATGGCGTCGCTGAAAGGTTCTTTGTCATGCGCCGGGGACGTTTTATTATCGGTCGGCGCGGCCGGCCGGGTCCCTCTTCGGGGAAATTAAGCACCGAGGGATCGATCGAATTCGCGCCGGCGAAAGGTGCGAATAAATATGCGGCCGTCCGAAACGACGGGAGAACGCGCCGCACTCCCGATCCATTAAAGTTTACATTGAGAAAAGCTCTCCGGCTGCTACGGCAAAGCCTGTCTGAACAAACAATTGCAACGAGCTCCGAACTAATCTGGTGTGCCGACGAGAGCGAACGGTTTCGCCGGGGCGGAGACGGGCGATGAAGAGAGAGGACCTCGCGAGGGGCGGTCCGGGGAAGTTAGAACGCCACGCAACGGCGAATATCAACATAGCTCCTCAAACTCTGTCGACCAGCCGACGCTGGAATCCCCGACGCCGCCGGTTCCGTGGAACGAGACCGAAGTGAAATCGTACCGCGCGACTGCGTTCCAATTTCTTCCTGTTTATTCGACACAGTTTCGGGATCCGTTCGCTCCAATCGGCCGTTTCTTTTTTTCTCCCGCAAAAAACCAGGCCGTTTCAGTCGCGGATAATCGCAATCCCCATCACATTGATCTTCTCCAGAGGACTTTCGGTTGTCTAGCCGTTGGTCACAGCAATGCGTTAGAATATCTACTGCAAAGTCGTGGCCTGTACGGTAATTTCTCCCTAATTCGCGCGTTTTTTATTGTTGCCGATTGCCAACAACTATAAAAACGAGACCCCAAATGTCCAGTTTTGTGCGCGATCCGAGCGCGAATTAGGGAGAAATGGCCAGGGGCCAACAATATTTATGTAAATTCTTGAAATAATTCAACATGTGCGGACATACACAAGAAACAAAAACAACAACAACGATAACAACACATTCAATATTTTTCCTTCGTGTGATAATTAATAAAACGATCGCCCACATAATTATAAAAGCATGTTGTTTGAGCGGCCATTAAAGCGTTAAGGTTGGCATAATACTAAACATAGACCGCGACAGTTTCGAAGTCCATTTTAGAAAGCTGCTCAATGCGCGTCGATCTTTCGCTTCTTCGCGAAAGATCAATATCATAGAACCATAAACAATGACCCCTGTAAGTTTCTCCTTTGAGGATGAAGTCGAACGAGATGAAACGATCCGCGGGGCATACTATTTGTTGACCGTTGGCGAGAATCGTGTCAGGGACGCATGCGGTTGAATACTTTGGAAATTGTGTTTATCTAACGAAGTTTGTTGCGGCGTGTCTAGATGATCGAATCATCGAGTGGCCCGAGGTTTAACGGTCGGTGGGTTTTGCTTTCTGTTGCAGGCACAAGAGGAAAGTGCAGAACCTGTTACCGTGCAAGAGCGCAGCGGGAGCGGCGGCTGCGGCCGCGGTGGCGGCCGCGGGTGGAAGAAGTCGAGTGCTGGCGGACGGTCAGCCGCACGCGGGAACGGGTAGCGCGGGCGGCGGCGCGGTGCTGTACGAGGACCTGCCGGAAGCGGTGACGCACTCGCAGCTGCACAATCATCTGCCGAGCCACCATCCGGGGCAGGCGCCGACGATCGAGGTACGAAATCCCGATCATCGACACAGCCTACGGGAACGCCAGCCGCAGCAGTTGCAACGCGCGCGCGCCCCCGCGCCTCATCATCTCGACTATCTCGACTACCGGGACCCGAGGGCGATACTGCGCGTCCAGGACAAGCCTTCGAGGGCGGTCTTGGGCGGTTATCGAACGCCGCGAGCCCTGCTCGCCAAGTCCCAGGGTGTCCCGCTCTCGATAGCCACTCACACGCCGTCCCGATGCAGCAACGTGACCAGCCCGCTCTTGCAGAACGGCGGTAACGTTCTACGGAACAGTCACCTGCTGTTGGCCAGCCAGAACGCGCTGATCACGAGTCAACAACCTCTCCCGCCGGCACCGATCCCGATCCCATCCCCGCCCCCGGTCGTCGGCGGTCCTTGCATACCGAGCTGTCCGGACGCGGAGGTCGGTCTGACCAGCGAGAAGTATCTCGGGGACAGCTGCATTTCCGGCCGGCCGATAGACTCCCGGCTACCCATCACCCCCACACACCGACCCAGAGTTCAACAACCACCCTCGGACAAAACTCAGAGCTTCGCGCATCGTACCACCCCTTCCGGTCAGCAGCCCGGTCCGAGAATCCTGTCGCGGGAGGAGATGATCGCGAACGCCAACAGGCGACCCTCCGTCGACTCCGAGGGCTACTCGTACATTGACTTCAAGGACACGGAGCTCGAGTCCACGAGGTACGATCTGGGCAACCGGCAGCCGGAGACCGCCGCCTCGAGGATCTCGTCGCTGCGGTTGTTCCGCTCGTCCTCGGGGAGATCGAGCTCGGTAGACTCGGACGGTTACTCGTACATCGTGGACTCCGGGTACAGAAGGGCGCCGGGCACGGCTAGGAGGATCGTGGCCGACGGTACCGACGAGGAGGTGTGTCCGCTCTGCACGATGCAGCAGATACACAGCCTCCTCAGCAAGCCGGAGGACGTATTTCTGAGCGTGCGGGGCACGTGACACATGTCGCTCGCCAGCGACATCTTCTTATAGTGCTGAGCAGGGCTGTAAGGTACGTTCGAACACGGTGCGAACTGCCTCAGACAGCAACTTGCTGACTCTCGAAACGACCGATCGACCCTTGGACCATCGAACAGGTTGCGACTCCTAGTTCTACCGAACTGTGTTTTTTTTCAGTTGTCGAGACTTTCCGATCTCGAGACTTTCGCTTAGCCTCTTTCGTTTTAACGACAGTTTGCGCACGGTTGCTAATAGACTGCTTTTGTTTGTGTTCCACTTTCGTCCTCCCACCATGGGAGACGTTCCCAAATCACTTCTGTGTTCAAACAATCGGCAATCGTGTGCAACACAGGCCATTTCGTTCGCTTCGATCATTTTGGTGTTTCTTGTCCAGGTCGATATCTTTTTTTCATTCGATTCGATTTGATTTATTAACTGGTATAGCCCTTTATTATACGCTAGGACAACGTACGAAAAAGTTATTATAAGTTGTCATTTTGGTTTCTCGGTATTTTTACTTTCAAATTATAAACGTGCATTGTATCGTTTGAAGATCCTATATGCTTTTCTGTCAAGACTCGAAACGATTATGTTACAAAGGGCCAAGATGCCAAAGAATACTTCCAATAGTTTTCGCAAACCATATCGCGTAGAATTCTAGTCGGGTTCGAAGCAGCAAGTTGTCGTTCGAGCACCGAATTCTTACAGCTCTACCGCGGAGACAGCCCAGTCTCGGATGTTTGCCGCCTCTGGCTTGCTGCGGACGTTTCGAGGGACGCCGCAGCCAGCCAGAGCGCAAGGGCACGATTCACATATCCCGTGATATCGTCGGCCACGATCGTTCCACGGTCGTTCGAGCAACGGCCCTCGGCACGTGGCCTTCGCGTTTCCGTGTAAACTCGTCGTCGTAGCTACGTTCCGTCGTAGGTAGCTGGTCTAGTGTCTTTCCCGGTTAGTCAGCGAGCGGACGGGAGCGCGGCTGTGTTCGTTTCGTTGCTTCGAATCGTCCATGGGGTCGATTCGATTTTCCTTCGTGACGTATTGGGTTCAGAAAGTCGGAAATTATTCTCATATTCGGAGGCTCCGCAATTTTTAACGAAGACCGGGGCTCTGTAAGCCGATACGGGGCGCGCGGACAAAGAAAATTCAATGGGAAATAGGAACGATAGGACCCCGTGCACATCGACCCAATACAACATCGCCGATCGTTACGTTGCATTCCACGGAGCAAACTAATGCGCATTTAGTTGACCGTTCGATTTCGTTTTGGTTTCTGTTGCTCGCAATCGGTGACGAGCCGAAGACACTAGCGCGGACTAGTCAGTATTTATTTTGTTACGCGGCCGTGCTTGCACAATCTCGCGTTCACGAGCGAGCCACTGGGGCGGAAGAGACGGTAGGGGTTGAAACATGGGGGTGTCGGAGAGGGTAGCCGAGAGATCGAGCGGGGCCTTATTACCTTTGGTTGTGCGAGCACGGCGAGAGTTTGATGCACTCCATGGTTGTAAATAGATTAGTCTCGCAAGAAATTGTAAATACTATACGTAGAGTGAGACGTGAACGCGAGAGCGAGAGAGAGAGAGAGAGAGGGAGAGAAAGGAAGCGAAAGAATCGTATATATATATTAATATAAAAGAAAAGTATTAAAACAAGTCAGAGATTAGCTGTGCACCCGATTGAAAATGAAACGGTAACAATGCCGGACCTGAGTTTCTCAATTTATGTAGTCGCTCGAAAGATCAATTACGACGATTATTACGATTATCGCGCAGATTAATTATTATTATTATTTATTGTCGCAACCGTGTCTCTTACCGTGACTGGTGCGGCGACCGTTGTAAATATATTCGGGTTGAAAGGAACGCGAGAGAGAAAGCGAGAGAGAGAGAGAGAGAGAGGGAGAGAGAGAGAGAGAAAGTCCTGTGTACATTGAAGGAAGGATGATGGAGAAGTTTGAGAAAATAAAATTACTTTACTGAAAAATTTGACGAGGAGTGGTTATTGACCCGGTCCACAATCCCATCCTTCGAATCCTTCGCAACGGAATCGCTGAATCTCGGTCGAAAGAGCGCGACGGTAACATCGGGAAACGCCGGAGGGGAAAACAATGAACGGAACGCGTCGAAGATCGATAGTAGAGTCTCGGACGCGTCGCCGGCGCGAGGGTTGCGATCTCGATGATGTTCGAGGCGAAGATATCGGACAAGCGCGGACCAATTGTTTCCCGACACAACACACGTGGACACGGAATAACCACTTCTGTGTTCAAACTTTGCTAATTCTGTGCGACCTCGTCCAATGATCTCGATGTTCCTTCTCTTGATCTTGGTACCTATGCTTTCGTTGATCGAAAAGCTTCTATTGCATCGTTCGCAGGTGTTTACACCTAAGTTTGATTATGTCCAGTTTACCAACTAACCTCTTTGCCAACTACATTCTATCGTTTGAAGGTTTCCTGGGTTTCGATTAAGTTTGATGGGGTTTGCTCTGGGTTCTGGTTCGAAGATATACACACAACAGCGTTGACGGCGGTGTATGCTGCGTTGTTTGATGACTTGAAATGGGTTTGATGGAAAATTCCGGTTGAACTTGATCGCGTTAGCTCGTAAACTTTCGAACTTCATCAAACTTGCTAAGCATGTCAATTTTCGTATTTCAAGATGGTTGGATGTTTCGCACAATTAGCAATACTTTCTCTAAAGCAATTCAAAGAGCGCGCCCGGTCTTCGATGCTGGAAATGCTGTCGCAGCATGAACTCGTATCCGATAATCAGGGACAGCGAGTGAGAAAGTGAGAGAGAATGAAAAAGAAAGCAGGCAGTGCGTGAAAGGAAGAGATAAAGATTGCCGAGTTCGCGTGGAAGTCGCGGCAGCTTTGCTTCCTATGGGGTCGCACGTACGCGAGGGTCTCTAATTTCGCAAATGGTACCGGAGCGTCCGTCTCTGCCTTCTATGTAATTTAATTGCCTTAACACGTTTCTATTTCTCCCTGCGGCGGGGAGTTTAGCCGTCGAAGAGGGACCCCGCGGGTTGTCTTGGTTGCCGTTTTAACCGAATTACGGAGGAAGCACGGGAAGTTTGAAGCGAATAGATTCGCGAAGATCGCGGTCCCGTGGAAATCGCGATTATAAATTCCGAGCTACGGGACTCGGTGGACTTTCGAAACCGTGGTGGCAGCGTTTCAAGAACACGTTTCCGGGAGGTCGATGTTCAAAGGAGCAGCGTGGCGAATTTATTCTCGCCCATTTCTATGCTGGAACACCCCTTAAGCTGCGGTCTCGTTCGTTCATCGATCGGCCCCCGTTGAATGGCGTAAATTCGAGCGCGCATCCACCGGCGGATAACCAAATAAATTGGCAATCTATGCCACCGGAAGTCTGGCAATTTAATATCCACCTGTTGTTGCCGCGATTACGTGGCTCGTTCGGTGTCGCGACACGTCGTTGAGCAACGAGGCCACCACCGCGGCAGTAAACTGCCAATCACGATGCGACGAAAACGAAAGTCCTGGGAATCTTTTACACCTCGTCGACGGAACGGTCTCTCTACCGATGATCTTGTCGATCGTTTGTCCGCCGCGTCGCGCCGGCCGACCGGTAAACGATTTCCTTTCGTTCCACGGCTCTCGGCAAGATAAGCCAATAAACATCCAATCTTGAGGCGGACAGCCATCGATTCGCTGTCCCACCTGTTGTTGGCTCGATTACGGCCCTTTAATCCATATCCTGGCACGTCGTTAGGCGAACGGGACCGCGCGCGCGGTAGCCTTCGATATAACCGGGGATGGCCAACGGGCCGAGCAGAGATCCGACTTAGGAACCTAATGCAATTGGCCGCGTAACTAACAATTAGCAGGTTACCGTAACGTGCTGTGGCCACGGCGCCGCCTAGCACAGGCTAGCTAGCGTGCACCATGCACCAGACATCGCCCGCAGGGTGCTCGGTCTTCGTTCCGAGGAACAACCTGACGCGATTGATCAACGCGATAGCCGGATCTTGATCATCGACCCCCTAAATCTTCGGGG